TACCTGCTCTCTACAGTGCTTCCTTCGTTAAGACCAGACTTAAAATACGATCATAAACGGAACAACAATAGATTCAGCGTTTCACTATTTCAATAAAACGTAAGAAACCAAGGCTGCACGTCAGTTTTGTACCCTAAATATAAATGCTTTGGAAAGCTCTGCCTATCTAGGGGCTGGGAAGTAGTGTAAATAACAGCATGTTCGAAATTCAGCCAAAATTGCCTGCAAGATCAGAAGATTATACTCAGAATCCATGGACTTCTTTTGCCATCAGCTACTATTACTATGAGATACTGATTCTTCTCCTAATCTTGTTCCCTTGCCTCTGCCACACCTTGTTATTTTCTTTTCTTTTATTCCTTTTTCTTTCCAAAACAAACCCATAATGTGTACTATGGAATTGTTTTGACACACATAGTTTTGACACACATTGTGGTTTTGTGTTGGCCCATTATGAAGAAGCTGGTCATAACCTACTGAAAATCAAGCTAGAGCCTGGTCAGGAGATGGAATTGTGTATTATGTCGTTGGAGTGCTGCAGCCAGAAGAGGACTAACCTTCAGTAATATGGACTTCTTGGCCAACGGTTTTGCATGATCAACAAGATTCATCAAGAAAATTTTGAAAAATGCTTTGTCTAACAGTACTCTATGATCCATCGACTCGAGACAAGTAACCTACGTAATGTGGCCAAATTTTTTGCCTACTTGCTTAGCACCTTGGCACGTTTTGTCTTACATACGATTGACGGAGAGGAGACAACATCTTCTTCCCGTATTTCATCCAGATTCTCTTCCAGGAATCGTCTGTGCACCTTGGTATCATGGTTCAAAGTCACGGTCGCGAAGAACATGCCTCGCCTTATCATGCAACAGCAGAAGCCTCTTTCTGAATCTGATGAATCAGGTACTTCTAGTTCTCATGATTCAGATTCGTCTGAATCATCCTCGAGCTTGGAAGAAAGTGAAAGCGATAGCAAAAATGATGATAGACGTAGGAAGAGTAGGAGAAGATGAAAGATACTTCTGATTAACTGGAAACACAAATGTTGTTATCTGGATTAATTACAGCCTCATTTACTGTCCCAAAAAAAAAAGGCCAAGTGGTAATTAAGGACATTAATCAGTAGACCTTGACACTCAGGTTTCTTCTTGTCAGATTTAAACTCTTTCATAAACCAAAAAACGAATAGCAGTAGTATCCCCTTGTTATTTTTGCATAATAAATCAGATAGACAAGAAGAAGAAGCCGTCCAAGCCTTGTATGAAGAATTGTAGTAGCACTGCACAAGGAGAGAGCAAGGATGTAAGAACAAGAATGAAAAGATGGAAAGTTCCAAAGCATGTGACGGAGATCCATGAGAAGCTCGCTTTACTTTAACACAAGCTGAAGAGTGGAGAAAAAGGGAAGAGGAGGAGAGATTGAGGGAAGAAGAAGAGGAGAGGATCAGCGAAGAAGAGCTTGAAAGATTGGCACAAGAGCAGAAAAGTTTGAAGAAGGAAAGGGAAAAAGAAAAACGGTTGAAGAAAAAGCAAGAACGGAAACTCTTGACGAGTAAGCAAAAGGTAGAATCTCGTAGATTGGAGGCACATAGAGAACGCATACTACTTGGGATGATGGTGCTGATCTTAAACTGCTCAGGAGAAGTCCAGATGCTGAAGTAGATGTTGATTCTGGTGATCAGGAGCCTAAACCTCCAATGGCCATTAAGGAGTTCAAGGCAATCCCACATTTGAAATCTCAGATTCATCCGGAAGCTGAGGTTGTAGAACTAAAAGGTAATTCCTTTAAAGAAGTAGGAAAATTAGAATGTCATCTCCGTTCTCCAATCTGCTGCGTTATGGGTCATGTTGATGCTGGGAAAACCATGTTACTTCATTAACCTCGTGCCACTAATGTTCAGGAAGATCATGTAGGAGGCATTACTCAACAAATTGTCAGGTTTGTGTGACATTCCAGTTCTCTTTGTTGATATCGTGCATGGCTTGAAGCCCCAAACAGGCGAATCCCTCATTATTTTGAACTTGATGGGCACGCAATTCATAGTCGCGCTCAACAAGGTTGACAAACCTTATGGATGGAAAATATGCTACAATGCACCCATGGTGAAGGCAATGAAGCAACAGTCCGAAGGTGTGCAAAATGAATTCAACAAGAGGCTGACTCAGGTTATCATACAGTTCCAGGAGCAAGGAATAAACGCTGCATTGTACTACGAAAACAATTATATGGGGGAGACATTCAACATTGTGCCTACTAGTGCAATTAGTGGTGAAGGGGTCCCAGACTTGTTACTCTTACTGGTGCAGGGGGCTCAAAGGACCTTGGTTCGGGAACTTACTTATCAGAACCAAGTGCAGTGCATTTGTTTTGGAGGTTAAGGTTGTTAAAGGACTTGGGACAACCATTGCAGTGGTCTTAGTAAATAGTCTGCTCCATGAAGGAGATCAAATAGTTATTTGTGGCACGCAGGGTCCTATTGTTAATGGAATTCGAATAGTATTGAGTCTGACACCCCACCCACTGAAAGAGCTCCGAGTGAAGGACAATTGTTTGTGTTTGTATAGAAATCAATGCTGCATAGAGTATCAAAATTGCAGCACAAGGTCTTGAGAATGCTATTGCTCGCTCTGGGATTTTTGTTGTGAAGCCAAATGACGATGTGAAACGTATTAAGAAAGAAGCAATGGAGGATATCACATCAGCCATGAATAGGATTGGAAAAAAGGGGAGGGAGTATATGTTAAAGCTGCCTCTCTTGGCTCCTTGGAAGCCCTCTTGGAATTCTTGAAGAATCCTGCAGTTAATATACCTTTCAGCATTATAAGCATTGGCCCTGTGGATGAAAAAGATGCAAAGAAAGGAGCATCATGCTTGAGAAGAAGAGAGAATATGCTTCCATTTTGCCTTTTGATGTCGAGGTCACGCTGGAAATTTGGAACTTGGCAGATAAACTGGGTATCGAATTGTTCTGCGCAGATGTTATTTATCAGCTGTTTGATCAGTTTAAGCCTCATATTGATTATCTCAAGGAGGAGGAGTAGAAGAGAACTGCTGGAGATGCAGCATTCCCCCGTGTTCTTGAGACCATACCAAACACCGTTTTCAAAAAGAAGGGTCCCATTCTTTTGGGGATGGACGTCTTGATGGCGTTGCAAAGATTGGAACTCCACTATGTATTCCTCGAAAGGAGTTCATTGATATTGGCCATATTGAATTAATCAATAGCAGTGACATACCAGTTGATGATGCCAAGAAAGGTCAAAGGGTGACCATTAAGATCATTGATCGTTGTCCTGAGGAGCAGCAGAAGTAGTTTGGAAGGCATTTTGGTATTGAAGATGAGCTTGTCAACCATATCACTAGGGAGTCAATTGACATTCTTAAGACATATTTTTGGGAAGATCTGTCTAGTGATGAGCGGAAGCTGGTTCATAAGTTGAAATATCTTTTCAAGATATTATGAATTAGAGCTTCTATTAGAGAGAGAGAGAGAGAGCAAAAAAAAGGGAAAATGAAAAAGAAACATCCCGTTTGGATTGTTATTTTTAAGAATTTTTGTAAAAAAAAATGTATCGTATCAATTTAATATGTGTGAAAAGAAAAGATATAAAAAGATTATTAGAAAATGTGTTCACGAAAAACAAAAAAAAAAATTACTTTAGAAAACTGCAAATCCGAACAAGGATTTCTTTTACAGTTTCATCACCTTTGGTTTTTAGCTTATAGTTTCGAGCGTACCAACTTGCATGGAGACTACCCTCTGAAATTGCACTCTGAATTCTTTTATGAGATGCTCCAAAGGGGCAGTTTGTTGATTATCCCTATTGCATACCTTAAGCGGTCTCTCTTCGCTCTTACATACACTCTCAGCGCATAAATACAATCATGGCAATTACGGTCCTCATTTAGGAAGAAGCTATGTTCTGCACCTTTCAAATGAAAGCCCCTAGGGAACGAGGAACTAGCAGAGTCCTGGACTCTTGGGACTCGCATAGTGTATTTGCTTGAAAAATAAGACCACGGTTCTTTCCCAAATTTGTCTTCTCAATCTCAAAAATCACTTTAAGATGACATATGAAGAATCTGAATCAGTATGAGTGATTGCTCAGAAAGTGAACAAAGACGAGGGATGTTTCATATATGAAAGAACAATCAGTAAAAATTCAGCGAAATTCCAGACAGCTACATTTCAGAGAACAAATGTGCTAACGGCAAAACTTTACTGCTGTGTACAACAGCACGACAGCAACCTTAACCAGTATATTGTACATTTAAGCTTTCGAGACGATGGCAAGTACAGAGACAAAAAAAGGAGGGGGGGATTGTGTTGTAAACCATCACGAATAATCAACATGCTGAGACAGACAAATGATGAACAGAGTTCAATTTACTTGGGAGCTTATACATACGCCACTGTACTTTCTCTGCACATTTTTTTTCCAAGACAACAAGCACTTTAAAAACCCGTACAAAAACCAAGAGGTCCAAGGCCAATTGACTGGACAATTGAGGGAACAGATCAGAAAACTACAGAATGAGAATAGTAGGCCAGAATTATCATTTGAACTTGATGACTATACATGATATATCATCACTACTTTTCCTTGCTACAGCTTCCTCAGTAAGGTGCTTTGCTGCAGCCCGAGCTTCCTTTTTGTCTTTCACACAGTCGACTGCCTCTTGATTTGACATTACCTGCCAAGAGAATTGCAACTTCTAGCACATTTTTTCACCAAACCAGAGCGCTAATTTAACAAGTAGCTGCAGTGCTTACAATTCAATCAAATATCTCCAGTCCAAAAGAACCACCGAAATACAACATCACCTAATACATTGTTTAGCATAGGATGGTGAACATATCTCTTCACTTATTCTTATGCAGGATACCCATCTTCCCTCGTCTAGTTATGTTCAGCATTTCAATTCTGTTTGATGCTTAAAATCCCCTGTTTTTAATCATCCTAGAATAGAAAAGATTTTTAGGAAGTATTGCTGTACCTGCCATTTTAGCATGACATGGAGGACAGAACACATATAAGATCATTAGAAGATCATGACAAAGGGCAGAAACTATTTAAGATGATAAATGAAGAATACATGAGACAATGAGAAGACTTTGACAAAATAATGAAGACATTTAAGATGGAAGTCAAAAAGTTTGAGATAATAATTTAAAAAATAAAAATATGAAAGAAAGACAGATACTTCAGAGTGGAGACCTCTAAATGATCCAAAAGATCTAAAATTGTCCAGTAAAAGCAGAAGTATAGCACAAAAGAAGAAAAACAGCATTTATTCTCTTAAACACAGATTCGAGTTCAGGAAGTAACAATTCTGCATTTGAATGGTATAGCTACACAGTAAACCTAGGATTTTGGAGCACCTAAAGCAATTATTAGCAAGCATTCTGAAGAAGGAATCTTTTTTCTACAACTACTCAAGAAAGGAAGGGAGAGGGGTATAAAATTCAAACTTGTCATTTTCCAATCAGACGGCAGAACAAAATCGCAGCTACTTCAGCTCCATAATGCATCATCCAATCATCATATCAGTCAATTGTATCGGATACTCCTGATAATAATTACACTAAGATGATAGGGATTTACCTCAGTGTCGTCAATCCTGAACCAATTTCCTTGCAGATCTTTGATATATGTGATATAGTGCCCAGAAAAGGATGCATTTAGTGTATCCAGGTGCACAACAACAGCATAAAGCATGTAAAGTGGAGGTATGTCATCTGTCCCAGTCATAAAAGGGACCATATCTAGCATATCCGGGAAAGTGATACATTTATTTATCTTCCCATAACGGCCTTCCTGAATATTATCATAAAAATTAGACCAATAAAACTTAAGAAACAAAGCAATTTAGATGGAAAGGGACATATGTAACCATATCCCAGGATAAGTAAACAAAAACCAAGATATCTGAATGCGAACAGTTCCTTAATGTTAAGCATCTTATGAGCCCACAATGTTACTAGCTTGCCAGACTCGACCCTTGTACTGGTTTCATTGCAAGTGTAATTTCATTCCTTCTAATGCTTCAGATTTAAAATCATCAAAGCCATGAGCTAAACGGCCCTGGAAGTCCATCAAAGTTGGTGACCAATTCAAGGGAGGTCACCAGCTCAAGTCATACCCATGATTACCTTCTATAAATGAACAAGTCAAGACTACCGCCAGTTTAATGTGCAAAAAGTCCAGATCTAATCTATTCAGGTACAATATCCATTTCTGTGAGCCATTTCCACCAGATGACAGTGCATTGACTTAATAAAAAAAAAAAGCGTACCTGAAATCTCTTCAACACAATAGTTAGTATATTTGGAGCCTCCTGTATGCTCAATTGCTTTCGAGCTCGAACATAGGCGGCGCACCTGTTTTGGTGAAAAATTTTAACCACCAGTGAACCACAAGTCAACCACTTCAATTTTTAACAGTAGAATCACCATCAGAAGCATTATAACCAGGTTGTGAATCAGAAATACAAATTCAACAGACCTGCCACATCTATACATATTTTCTCCATCAAGTTCTTCTGGACTTGTAAATTGCGTTAATGCATCTTCCAAAGACTGCACCCAACCAAATATCTCCAGTGTCAGATCCATTATGTTCTCTGACCTCTCAGACTCATGATGACATCTTAAACATTTCACCTGACAGTAAGAAGGTTAAACTTAGCAACTATTGCAAATAATAAAAACAACAGGAAGTAACAAAGATGCATGGCATCCAAAAGTGAGAAAGATTCTAATGGAAAATAGAAGTAAATAAGGACCTTTGATCTCAGGCGCCCACCGAATGTATGTTGTACAAAAGTTGTTTCCTGCAATCTGGGATCAACCACATTCTCACCGCCTAATCCTTCCAAGCATATCGATTGCATTGATGCAATAAGAAGCCTGCATTAAAGAGACATACCATGAAGAAGGATGTAAGGTTAGTACACATTTTGAACGATTGTTTGTATTTTCCTTCAAACATGAGTTCATCCTGAGACAAGCCAAGCTAAACAAGCATCAATCACTGACCGCAAAAATTCATGAGCATCTTCTTGACTTCCATCACCAATCTGGCAATTGATACCACGTATGTGTGATAGGATCCTGCTTGGAGAAATTGGATCTCCACTTTCTCTTAACTTCATTACATGTTGCTCAAGTTCACACATGAGGCACCAATCTCTGATACAAGCTGGTAATTAGTTAACGGTTAGTGAGATCGTTATTCAAAATCCAAAGAAAAATACACACACTTACATACATCTAGACACATATCCAAGTAAATATACAAATGAAGCAGACTCACGCATGTATACATGTGTACAAGACGTAGGCAAAGGTTTCAAATGGCAATGAAGAGAAAGAAATAAAAGTACAATCACTTACAAGCTCTAGAATGCAATCTCTGAAGCAGAAACACAAGGAGAGGCTTTGTGCAGGTCAGACACTGCAATACAGCATTGGCATAACAACTGCACAGTAAAATGAAAGAAATCTTGAAAATACTTGACAAATAATAAAAAATCCTATGAGATTTGTTTCAGTACATTATTGCATTAAGAGTCTGTACATTTCCTATATCTATAAAATATTTCTAGAGCTATTGATATGTAAAAGCACAAGAAAAGCATGAAAAATTTTGAAGAAATACCTGTTTCCACAATTTATAAGACCTCTTGGAGACATGTTGAAAACTTCATACTGAAAGAACTTCACAAAATCTTCATACGGAAATAGCATCTGTGAAATAAAAGAAAAAAATTTATCCATAAACTTTCATGAATGACTAGGCCCAGAATACACCATTTAGATTCATCAATCAAGCAGCTTAAGAACTGGCAAACAAAATCTTTGCTGAAATGTTTCAAACAGATGCATTACTCCTATTTAATATTTTTGCTCTATCTGTTTAAATGATAATAGAACTGATCCTATAATTCAGACCTTAACTTTCTTATGCTGGTCAGAATTTACTTCTGAAGTCTCTAGTCTCTCAAGTTTTGAAGGCTTCATGAAGCCAATCATCTTCATAATTCCCATGCCAGTAACACCATTACTTCCTTGTGAAGGGCCAGCATCCTTTGTTCGATTAATTTCTGTTTCATAACCAATTCTTAAGTAAACATCACAGATCAGCAGGGACAAATCAGAAAATGATGCTTCTTTCAGACTTACTAGACTCATACGCTGTTACACCCTTAAGATCCAGATCTGAACATGTTTGTTCTCTGGACGCTTTAATCACTGATTTTGGTGATTTATGGAGCTTTGGAGATTGAGATGCACTTCTAGCCTTATTGCTTCTCTTATTTGTAGCCCTTTGAGTTGAACAACAAGCCTCTGCTACTTCATCATGAGATGTAGTTTCCTTCTTCTGCAAGTTTTCTCCATTCATTGAATAGGGAGTATTACATAAACTCGTTTCATTATTTGACGAGTTTGAGGTGGCATAATTATTTCTCATGTCAGAAATATGCTTGCTCTGTCGTCGAATCATATGATGTTCTTCCTGTGTGCTTCTTGCATTTGCATTTGCATTTCCATAGCTCACTCCCATAGGAATGCTGACATCATGGTCTAGCAAAGAATCACTTTCTCTTGACTGCAACCAAAAGTAAGAGCAGTTTTCAGGATATAACAAATATCTACATAAAAACTTTATAATGTCACAGTTGGCAAGGCTAAGAACCTTGTGTCCCATAGAAGCTTCCTTCACCGGCATATTACAAGACAAGGGTGAACAAGAAACCCCATTAGGATTTGCTCTATCAGAGCAATCTGGTAGGTGCTCAAGACCATTATTTAACGTTTCTCTGTTGCTTTTACAAGAAGGTCGCTTGTCCACGGATCTTCTCTCTGTCAAAGGGGTCCCAGATGTATCCACTTCCGCACAAGCTGTAACAGCTATGGGCAGCAAGGGAGAACAACTAGTATTCCCTGAAGGAGTTTCTTCAAGCATAGGTTGGTTGTTATTGTACTCAAAGGATTGGAAATCTACACTGCCATCAAGTGATACTCCACCAGGAAACTCATTGGCTAGGGTGAGTTTAGGAGATGAAATGCTGCAATTGCTATCCAATTCCTGGCACTCATGCTTGTGCACTTCCCTCCAATGAATAATCTGACACTTTCCGGAACTGCAAACACAGTAGCTCAAAAGTTTAGACTAACAAATATCAAGTTAACAAATAACAATTACTCTTAAGCCTCAGAAGAGAACAGCTAGATACATTTTTTAGAAATAAAACTAAGAACAATTAGATATATCTTTCCAAATCCTTTATTTTAAATCACTGTAATTTTGTTATGCATTCTAGCAAAACTTGTTCAGTAAGAATTATAGAATACCGCAGTTAACCACAGTTCACATACCGAAGATAAGTTTTATATTCCTACAGTATATGCAGATACAAATTACATGCAAATGTGTTCAAAACCAACACTAAGATCATACCAGTACCAAACAGACTTGCACCGTTTACAGCGAGTTGTACTTTGACCAAAGCATCTTGCACACTGATGAGTCGAATTGTTTGGCAAGCATAACACAGGGGCAACAGTAGTAGCAGTCATTGCTTCAACTCTAAGAGATTCTTCAGCTGCCTGTTGAGTAAGCAAACTAACCCTCTCTTTTTTTTTCGTTGACTCGCTCCATTTTCCTAGCAAGATATATGCAACCAGGGGAAGCACAACAAAGACCAGAAACAAAGCTGGTATATCAGTTTCCCTTGGCTCAAGCATGTCCTCACCAAAACAATCATGTCCCGTTTTCCTCTAAAACCTCTTTGGCATGGCAGATCGCACTTAACTACATGTAAGAATTATAGAAACAACACAGACATCAGCTAAGTAGACAACATCATCAACTTCATCATTCAACTCAATTGACTAATCTGCTGCACATCATTATATAAGTGATTATCAACCAACCATCACAGTTAAAGGCTATGCTAAATTATTAGTTCTTTAGACAGAGTATACATCTCATCAACAACAAAAAACATAGAGGTCCAGTTATCTTGAAAGCTTCATGGGCATGACTCATCCTTTCTGTGACTAAATTCTATGTAACCAAAGTGAACATCCAGATATATCAAATTTCTGAAGGTCTTGATTCATGTGGGCACATAACTAACCCTATTGTCTATGGAAGACATGATCCACGTTCTGAAGTGCCTGAGCAAATTTGTTACTAGTTCAATAAAGAATGCCAGAATAAAAGAGAGTTTCCAAATTACGTTTTTGCTTCCAATTTGGCAGATGTAAATTGATAAGTAGCTCAATTAGTATACAGATCCAACAGGACGACCCTGGCATTAATTTTGATAACACGCTGCCAGTCCAATAACCTGGAACGAAAAGCCATTAAGAGAATATAATCGGCACGAGGAAGAGTACATTCTATTAACTGCTTCAACACTTACAGCAACTGCAAGACATCAAACAAACTGTTTGTTTCTACATTTCTTTCCTTAACTTTAAAAGAACCTTGTAGCTCTCATTTCTCTCATGCCGATGACACATCCAATGCAATTTTAAATGAAACTACCGCACTGAAATAACTAACCATTGGATACTAATGATTCAATTCATTCCACCTTAGTAACTTTCATGCATCAACGTATAGAACTGCATGAAGAAAATTTCAAGAATTGAACTTTATTCAATGAAATTAAAAGAAGAGATAATATGATCAATAACGCAAATCCACAAATGATCAGCTGATGATTAGCTACATTTGCTAATGAAAGAAGCAACACACAATGAGTGCAAAATTACTCCATCATAACCCTACCAAGAACAAATTTTTGTCGAAAAAACAAAGAGAAAGGATGAAAAGATTCAAAAAGGGAAAAACAAAAGACTCGCCCTAATATTACCAATTAAAAACATGTATGACAATGAGAACACTGGAGGGACAAAATCCTTTCTTTTTCCACATTCTCACATCTAATTCAATTAAACCCCCACCTAAAACTCATCACATTCTACCAATTCCTGGTACAATTTAAAAAAAGGTAAGAAAAATCAAGTACAACATTGCGTTCCCCATTGCCCGCCCGTCCCCCGCCACCCCCCGCCCCAAAAAAAAAAAAAGAACAGCTGAAATACTCTGCACAGATATAATAAAAATCAAATCATTTCTACCAAAAGCTACATAAATTCACCAAACCCAGATGGAATCAAAGATTAAATTAAAGAATTGACAACAACAACAACAACAACAACAAAAGGCTGAACATATATCCGTACGTAATACACACAAGTGAATACGATGGAATATAGAAAAGTTGTTGGGTTGGGACTCTTGAGCATATACCTTAGTTTTCCCACAACACCAAGAAAAACCCAACAACATTTCCTCCTCCTCTCCTCTTCCTTTTAATCTTAAACCCACCAAGAAAAAAACAAAAGATTCCCTCGGTTCCTCAGATGGTAAGAAACAAAACGGTTACACTTCTCTCAGCTTCTTCTGCTTCTCTTCTTCCTTTCTCTCTCTACAAGGTTGGCCTTATTCACATCACTCTCTCTTGTTCCCTCTAAGACATGGTAATATTCCCCTCTACACACTCGCACAAAACCCACCAGAATCCCATCATACGTGGCACAACCCCATTAGTTGGAAAGAACCCAGTCGGAGATTTCATCATCTGGAGCGTTAGATTTGACCGTGTGCATCCGGGGAATTAGAAAACGTGATGCAGAGAAGTACTAGTACCAGTACACTACTCTCCCTCTTACTACTGCTGCTGCTGCTACTTACTGATGCAAGAAAAATTTGTGGATTATCTATGGTGGGGGGTCTTCGCGGTGGGGTCCATCGGTCATCAGATGTTCGGGATTTCCAATAATTTAAGCGGGTGCCACGTGTACGGCCATGATTATGTAATGACATTGCATGATTTTGTTGTTAAATGCACATTGATTTCGAAAGGAAGTGAATAAAGTGGGTAATGAGCGTGATCCCTCATGGACTCTGTTTGACCAGTGACGTCTCCCCTCCCCTCCCCTCCCCTCTGTGAGATACTGAGTGATGGGTTTTTCACCTTCTTGGATTTTTCTCCTCCTTTTTTTTTTTTTGGGGGGTGGTTGTGGGTGATGGAGGGAGCATGTGACAAACATGTAACAGTAGCACTAAAGATTACAGAGTATGTTTTCTTCTGGAACTATTCCCAATAAATAAGATGCTCTATCACTGTTCTAATCTTCTATAGTAGTACATAATTGCATGATGCCTAGTCCCATTTTGGTAAAAAGCAATTTTAAGGTTTTCATTTTTTTGATAATTCTTGATTCATTAATAAGAACATGAATGGCTGCCTTAATTGCTAGACGAGGATCCATCACAAATAAATCTTTTGCTTTTATTGCTACATTCAAATGAATTTATTGGAAGATTTAACGAGGAATAGGATGGATTAATGCAGCATTTATGGCTCTTTCTTTTGGCTTTGAAGTATTTTAATTGTACAAGTCAGAAACGAGTAATTGTTGATTAATTCAGTACTTTTCAAGGATTTCTTGCCCAAAAAAAAAAAAAAAGATGGCATTTATTTGACTACTCTTTTGTTGTTCTTTCTTGCACTTTTCTATGTGAACTGATCACATGATAATGGTAGGATTAGAGTGCTATACAGCCAAAACTCGAGAGTTGTAACGTATGAAGTGTGAGGTAAAAAGGGACCTCTCGCCCTTGCGGTTACAGACATCATCTTTTGTCCTGATCATGAGTTACGTTGAATAGGTTCCATTTTTCATGTCACAATCTTTGAGTTGAGCTTGGCTTTTTTGCTGGTTTTTAAACTTGTTGGCTTTATCTTTTAGCAAAAACTTATTTACAGGAATCACTTTTCCATCGTGTGATGTATACAATAGTTAGGGGAACTTTCTTTTCGTGGTCATGCACCATTTTCGTTCTCATTTTTCTTATATCATTATGTATCAGCTAGTGTATATATCGTACAGTCTATAAGTAATTTTATAGATCAAGCGAACGCAATTTTTTTTTTTTTATCACTTGCACGTGTTTTAATGCCAGAAGGCATGAGTTCGTGACTTTCAAAGTTATGAGCTCCATTTTTCATATGTTTTTAGAATGTTGTATTTAGGCTCCATTTTGTGTCATAGTTCTCGATGTGATCAATGTTTTGAAAATCGGATCAAATTGGATGGTTCGATCGGTCGAGCCGTGAACTGGTCTTGCTTTCGGCCCGATTCAATAAATAATCAAAAAAAAATGAATTAAACTCGTCAAATTCAGTCAAAAATCGATTCAACCGATAAAAATCGATAAAACAGGAGGTTCAACAGGTTTTTATTAAATTTGTATTTCTAAAATAAATATTTTAATTTTATTCAAAGTTTTTAATACTAAAATAAATTTAAAAAATTATTAAACCTTTGAACCGAAATTGAATCGGTTGAACTGATCAAACCCCGAACCAAAAGGTTTTCCAGTCACTCTCCGTCACAAGTTAAAAAGCATTGGATGTTAGAGAGTGGAGACTCATCTTTTAGCTTAATCTTTAGTCATAATTTTCCAGTTTATGGTACCTATATTCCATCTTTTTCAGCAACCAATATATTATTCCAACAAGGAGTAACAGACTGTGGGTATGCGTTTCCTTTTCTTTCTTTCTTTTTTTTTTTTCATTTTTGGTCACTGCATGCAAATTAAAACAATAAATAGGTAAGGAAATAATTAAAAAAATACTTTGCAATGATCCAACTTTGATAATTTATGATGCACGGAGAAGTTAAAAAGTACGAGCAAGCCATATATTATCACCTTAGATTGTGGCTTTAAGCTAACAATTCTTTTGGAAGTCCTTAAATGAACAACTGTTTTCTTTTTCTTTTTTTGTACCTTGATTCACATGGTCCGATTTTATGACTACAGCCCTTTTCTTTTGGACAGTATCTTTTCATTCCACTCTCCACCCAAAATTACCAGCGTATGTGTTCTTATGCTTCACTAAACCAGTTCTCCACCATGTATTTCTATTAAACAATGGCCAAATAATAAATTTCTAGTTGAGCTTAACAATAATGTCTTGATCCTGCGTTATGTTGAATAGGTTCCATTTTTTCTTGCCACAATCTTTGAGTTGAGCTCGGTTTTTTTGTTCGTTTTTAAAACTTATTGCACATTGGCTTTATCTTTTGGCAAAAACTATTTTACGGAATCACTTTAGATCATGTGGTATATATATATATATAATAGTGACGTAAATTTTCTTTCATCGCCATACACACTCGTTTTCATTTTTCTTGTTCCATTATGTATCAACTATTGCACATATCACATATCATATGATCTATAGAGAAAGCCAACACCAAAAAAAAAAAAAAAAAAAAAAAATTTATCGTTTGCATTCTAATGCCAGAAGGTATGATGAGTTCATGACTTTCAAAGTTATGAGCTCCATTTTTCATATGTTTTTAGAATGTTTTATTCAGGCTTTATTTTGTGTCATGATTCTCGATGTTACAGACTCATATTTAGCCATAATTTTCGAGTTCATAGTACCTATATTCCATCTTTTTTAGTGACCAATCTAATTATTCCAAGGAGGAGTAACAGAATGTGGGTATGCATTTTTTTTTTTATTTTTGGTCACTGCATGCAAATGAAAACAATAAATTGCTAAGAAAGTATTGTTTTTCAAAAAAAAAAAAAAACTACTTTGCAATGATTCAACTCATGATGCACAGAGAAGCCTTAAAAGTGCGAGCAACCCAAACATTATTATTACCTTAGATTGTAACAGTGCGAAACCAACTTTGACAAAACAACTTTTTTTTCTTTTTCTTGTTCGTACCCTTGATTCACATGGTCCAATTATATGACTGCAGCCCTTTTGGCTACCATCCATCTTTTCATTCCACTCTCCATTACGTCTCCACCCAAAATTACTAATGTATATCTTCTCATGCTTCACTAACCTCTAGTTTTCCACCATATGCATGTGTTTCTATTAAACAATGGCCAGATAAGTCCATTGAAAAGGACCAAGTTGATTGCCACATTAGGTGATGGAGTCGTTGTACAAGCGACTGAATCTTTCCTCTTTAATCCATTGCTAATGATGGGAAGGCAAGTCATGGGACCAGAGAGTTGATGCAGACCCTGGGTATGTTCTAAAATCTCACCTGATCACATTAGTTGACTTGTACTTTGGATTAACTACTTAATGCTACCTTATTGGAGCAAGTATCAAACAAATGTTTTACCAAGTCCAAAAGATTATGAAAAGATCGCGGGCTTCTGATTGATTATATTTACGCGGCTAAATGTTTCCACCAGAATCATGCTTGTTTGGCAGGTAAGGAAAAATGCGATGATTTCCTTTGGTAAATATTCGAGAATTCAAGTCTCGAAAGTGGCCAAAACCAACCCTATATATATATATATATATCAATGGAGATAGAAGTTTGGAAATGAACTATATTTTAGGGTACGCATTAATGTATAATCAACTATGATTTGAAAGAGTTGACGATTGAAGAAAAGAAAAATTACTGTCAAGCATGGCCCAATGAAAAAATTTTACATTTTTAATTCATGCAATCGATTGTAGGATTATTAATCCGTCTAGTTCCAGTTATTTGCATACATGGCTTTCCATGACAGAAACGGGAGTCTGCATCATTTATTAGATGGATGAAATGAGTTGAGACACAGGAAACTGAAACTTACCTCTATGCTGTGTGAATGATTTCTTCTTCTTAATATCACAAAAGAACTAATAAATAAACAATACTACGTTATAGAATGTAGTATTGAATTGCCAAACGACTGTAGACCTAAAAGATAAGATGCGATTTGGTTGGTTAATTCTGGGTTCTTGACAAGATAATAACCAAGTAAGTTCTCAAAGACAAACACAGAAAATTGAAAATAAAATCAGTCAAAATAGTATTACTAGCTCATTAAAATTCTGAGACATCTGGGGGAAAAAAAAGAGATAGAGCAAGGGAGAGAGAAAAATACACCAAAGAACACTAAATTGCGATGATTTCAACAATTTACAGCTGCCATCACCATTACTCGCTTTATTAAGGAAGGCATACTTTTTTTTTTTGTCGCAACGATAGGATTGCTATAACCTAATCTAGTCTAATCTAGGAGAAAGGGGGGACTCCATCGAAAATGACCACTGAGAACTGTCACATATTGTGACAATTTTTTTGTGTGAGCCAAGGGTCGAACCCTTGACCTTCCGCACTACTGGACCAAAGGCCCAGTGGCTTAAGGAAGGCATACTAGCTGTGGGCCTTTCTGAGTAGAGGTTCTTAACATCCTAAATAGCCCATAAGACCAGTGAGATTCAGAGAATAATAACAATTTCGTCCTTTATTTCTTGAACTAATTAATCTAGTGCCTCATGTTTACTCTGAACGTTGGTCATTAAGTGTGGAAATTTCCAACTCTATCCCTAATCTTTCTCCTAGTGAGCTCACTAATGCCATTAGAGAGTATGATATTGAAACCATCAGGAGTCCACTGTGTCAAAATTAAGACATAAAGGGGGTTGAATTGATTAAGTGGTTTTCAAAATATGGAGGAGGAACTGTTACAATTGTAAGTAACTAAAACTGTCTTTGCCGCGGTAGACTTAGTTACAATTTCTTCTCATATTTTGATGGGATCAATACTTTGTATGACAAGGCGTGAGGACAATTTTCATAGGCATTTTTAGTTAGGCTTGTTTGATAACCCAATTCCGCACTTAAATTTAACGAAATCAAATC